CCCCGTCAGAACTAGTCCTCACAGCTGGTCCCCCGTCAGAACTAGTCCTCACAGCTGGTCCCCCGTCAGAACTAGTCCTCACAGCTGGTCCTCCGTCAGAACTAGTCCTCACAGCTGTTTCTCCATCAGAACTAGTCCTCACAGCTGTTTCCCCATCAGAACTAGTCCTCACAGCTGTTTCCCCATCAGAACTAGTCCTCACTATGTGACGATCATCTGATGGGTCAGAACTTTATGTAAAAGTTTGAGTCTCATCTCTGAGCAGCGTCTGCTGAAGAGCTTCTGGCCGGGGTTGTTGAACATTAGCCAACTGTTCCAGTAAAGACTGATCAGGTCAAATTAAACTTCTAATGATAGATGGCTGCTGATCCCCCGGTGGACACGTTCTCTCATCGTCTGCTGAAAACGATGGCGGAGGCTCTGCTGCTCCTCGGTGACCAGCAGAGATACCAGATCTCCTCCAACATCAGCTGATAAAGGTCCACGGTGGTCTGTTGGTTCTGGCTGAGTGACCCGGTGGGCGGAGCTCATCAGGAGCAGATTCTCTTTGAGTAGAAACTGTTGGTGTGGAATAGATCCTGTCAGCGAGGTCTAAAGTCTGAACGTTCTGTGACGTATAACCAGGTTTCCTGATCAGGTTTAGCAGTGAAGAAGGTCACTGAAGGTCAACGCACCTGAAGACTCGACACGTTCTGGTCGTCCGTCGCTGCTCTCCGTGGAACCAAACTCAAAATAACTTCCATGATATTTCTGAAGTTTAGAAGTTTGTGATTTGCTGCATCTGAAGAAGTTGATGAATTTAAATGTTTCCATCTCCACTAACTGCTGAGCAGCAGAAAGAGCTGTCGCTTCTGTCCAGACTTCACAGACTGACACGTGTCGTTAACACGTCAGAGTTTTGATTGGCTCAGAGCTGAGGTGGGCGGGACTTATCAGTTCATTATGTATTCATGCACCTTTTTTAATTATTAAACTTAGCTAAAAACTTTATGCTAATTATTTTACGGACCCCCGGGGGTCCAGAGACTCCAAATTGAGAACTGCTGCATTAGAGAGCTTCTATTAATATTATATTAATATTATCAGTAATAGTTTCTACGTGATCGGCCCTTCCTGTTGGTTATTGTGTCTGCGTCCAGACGCGCGCCCTCCGTGCACATGGCTGCCGCAGAGTCCCGTCACATGACCGCCATCGTCTTATTTAACTCTGGACTCTGTCACAAAGAGCAGCTGACTCTTTTGTCCTTTACTTCATGGTCGCCATGGCAACTGTGCCATAAAACAGGTCAATGAATAATCTGGACTTTAGCGTCGCGAGTGTGTTACATGTTTTACACACACACACACACACAGAACCTCTGGATCCAACAGAACTGCTCAGACTTTGTCCCGGCTGCAGGACATCCCCATACGCCATCGTCGCCTCACCTGAGTCAGTGAGTCCGAGCTGGGAGCACTGGGACCGATGGATAAGCAGGTTTAACTGGTTCTGACCCTCCAGAACCGCTCCGACAGGTGGATTTACCTGAGCTGCTTCAGTTTTGATTCAACACCAGAGAAACATCAGGTCAGAACAAAGGTTTACAAAGTCCACATCTGGTTCTGTTCTGTACAGAACGGTACGCCACCAACACTGTTTATAGTGGGAGAGGTGTGCTGCTGACCTCAACTCGGGATGTTGTGGGTCGGTGGGCGGAATACTTTGAAGACTTCCTCAATCCCACCGGCACGTCTTCCACTGACGAAGCGGAGCCTGGGGACTCTGGGTCGGGCCCTCCAATCTCTGGTGCTGAGGTCACCGAGGTGGTTAAAAAGCTCCTCGGTGGCAGGGCCCCGGGGGTGGATGAGATTCGCCCAGAGTTCCTTAAGGCTCTGGATGTTGTGGGGTTGTGTTGGCTTACGCGACTCTGCAATATTGCGTGGACATCGGGGGAAGTTCCCCTGGATTGGCAGACCGGGGTGGTGGTCCCTCTATTCAAAAAGGGGGACCGTAGAGTGTGTTCCAACTACAGGGGAATCACGCTCTTAAGCCTCCCTGGTAAGGTCTATTCAGGGGTTCTGGAGAGGAGGTCCATCGGAGAGTCGACCCTCAGATTCAAGAGGAGCAGTGCGGTTTTCGTCCTGGCCGTGGAACACTGGACCAGCTCTACACTCTCAGCAGGGTCCTGGAGGGTGCGTGGGAGTTTGCGCAACCAGTCTACATGTGCTTTGTGGACTTGGAGAAGGCGTTCGACCGCGTCCCTCGGGGGGCCCTGTGGGGGGTACTCTGGGAGTATGGGGTACCGGGCCCTTTGATACGGGCTGTTAGGTCCCTGTATGACCGGTGTCAGAGCCTGGTCCGCATCGCCGGCAGTAAGTCGGGCTTGTTCCCGGTGAGAGTTGGACTCCGCCAAGGTTGCCCTTTGTCACCGATTCTGTTAATAACTTTTATGGACAGAATTTCTAGGCGCAGCCAAGGTGTCGAGGGGATCTGTTTTGGTGGCCTTAGGATTGCGTCTCTGCTTTTTTCAGATGATGTGGTCTTATTGGCTTCATCAGATCGTGATCTACAGCTTTCGCTGGAGCGGTTCGCAGCCGAATGCGATGCGGCCGGGATGAAGATCAGTTCCTCCAAATCCGAGGCCATGGTCTTGAGCCAGAAAAGGGTAGAGTGCCCTCTCCAGGTCAGGGAGGAGGTCCTGCCCCAAGTGGAGGAGTTCAAGTATCTTGGGGTCTTGTTCACAAATGAGGGGAAAAATGGAGCGTGAGATCGATAGGTGGATAGGTGCATCATCTGCAGTGAAGCGGGTGCTGTACAGGTCTGTCGTGGTGAAGAGAGAGCTGAGTCAAAAGGCGAAGCTCTCAATTTACCGATCGATCTACGTTCCTACCCTCATCTATGGTCACGAGTTTTGGGTTGTGACCGAAAGAACGAGATCTCGAATACAAGCGGCTGAAATGAGTTTTCTCTGCAGGCTGTCTGGGCTCTCCCTTAGAGACAGGGTGAGAAGCTCGATCATCCAGGAGGGACTCGGAGTAGAGCCGCTGCTTCTCCACGTCTAGAGGAGCCAGTTGAGGTGGCTTGAGCTTCTGGTTAGGATGCCTCCTGGACGCCTCCCTGGTGAGGTGTTACGGACACATCCCACCGGGAGGAGGCCCAGAGGAAGACCCAGGACACGCTGGAGGGACTATGTTTCTCTGGCCTGGGAACGCCTCGGGATTCCCCCGGAAGAGCTGGTCCAAGTGGCTGGGGAGAGGGAAGTCTGGACCTCCCTACTTAGGCTGCTACCCCCGCACCCCGACCCCGGATAAGCAGAAGAAAATTGATGGATGGATGGATGGATGGACTAATCCGCTAAAAGCAGAACTAATTTTTTCTTTAGCAGATTATAATTTCTGCTCACTTTGGAAACCATTAGCAGAATTAGCTTCCACTAAATTAGGTTTTGTCATCTTTAAGTTGCTAACAAAATTCCAAGCTTGTTCCCGTCTGTTGTGGGCGTGTCTTGTTGAGTCTGGTCAGCAGCTATTGGCTGACTACATAAACACGTGACGTAATTGGTCGACGCAGGTTCGAAGACATGTGACTGAGGGACGGGATTCTTTTAGTGGTTCTGGATCTATGGAAATTCTCCAGTATCCAATCATTAAGTTCTGAGAACAAAGAGATGGATTCTTGCTTTCAAACACAAAATGTGTTCTTATAGCAGGATCATTCTCCCATATGGATCTGGTTCTGGAACCAAATCCACCCCCCACCCCCAACATATGGAGCCTAAGTTCTAAACGTCTCAGTCCAATCAGGACTTTTCAGATCTGGACCTTTAAACCCTGCAGAGGCCCAGTAAGTTTTGACCTGGTTCTGGTTCTATACGGTCCAACCTGTGTAAATCATGTCTGTCTACAGATCTTCATCATGAGGTCTTCATCAGAACCCTCAGCCCCGTCCTCTGGTCCTCCTCGTCCTCCTAGTCCTCACATGTCCATCCAGAGTCCACAGCTGCAGGACGAGTTTCTGAAAGGTGAGGATCTGAGCTGGATCACAGACAGGTGAGGAGGACGGAATCAGAATAAACTTTATCATCATTGCACCGAGATACAACGAGAACGTGTCCGTACAGTCGTCTGAAAGATGGACGGAGTGCACGAAGATGCTGCTCTTTGAGAGTGCGGCCTCTTATCCTTTTCAGAATTTATTGTTTATATAGAACAAGGGACAAAGCCATGAGGAGAGGATGGTGGCATTACAAAACAGATCTCTTCACACCTTGTCCTAACAGGGCACCATTTAAGACATTAAAAACTCTGCCAGCAGCACATGTATGAACATGTTTCATATGTATTTACAACGAGGTGGTCCATGAAGCACTAACAGT